AAATCAACAGTTGCAAATGTCATGCGGACACGCACGCACACATACAAAAATCATCAAGTCAGCACCACTGATGCGGGCCACGACATCGGTGGTTGCACTCTTTGCCATCGCGCTCATGCGCCACTGCATCGATAATAACAATTGAATATGTGCATATTGTGCAAAATGCGTATTAAGCGACTGGGACACACACACACACACAAACACACACATCAGAAACACACATACGCACAGTCATGAGGGTAAGTTACGGATTGTCTAATCTTATTTAATCGCAGAACTTTATGAATTCATTTGGTATAACCACACCGACTGTGGGTTTGGCCACAAACATTTTTGAAAATAAGTCGACATTGTTTGCCAAATTTTAAACGATTATTGAAGTTATGAAGTATCCAAAAATATGGAGGATAGGGCCTATTTGTATGCCTGGTAGAAAATCCCATAAGCCCTGAGAAAACAAATTCATTTACTTTTTTTCTGTTAAGTACCGCAGCTCTAGAAATTCTACCTTATTTATCTGACGGTTGCAATTAAAATGTGTTACTATTAAACAAAAAAAATCGTTCTTTTCACAATATTTCAATTCTGTTGCCAACTTGGCGTATGCGCAACTTTCCAGTAGCGTAATTAATATTTAATTATCACACTTTCCATATTGAAAGCATTTTCAAGCAGTGCTTTCAGCTTGGGAAATCGAACTGAATTGAATATTGGAGTATCGACTGGCCATTGGATGCAAACGCTTGCTGACCCTTTGTGGCATTATCCTTTGTGCTCACTTAAGCGAGTCAAAGGGGGCACTTTGATCTGCTCAACACATGCGGCTGACATTAAGTTGCCACAGCAACAGATATTGGACTAACCCACACTCCACTCCTATCTCCCGCCCACTGTGTGTCTGTGTGTGTGTGTGTGGTCACTAAGCCATAGCCTCCCGAGTGCCTCGGCACTTAAAGCATGCACATTACCGCTTTGCCAGTCGCTGTTGATGCACTGATTGGTTGCTTACTCACACACACACACAGAAACACACACTCACACAGCCACACAAATTTTAGCTGTTCCTTTGAGCTCGTTTGCCGTTCGTATTACCAATAATTAAACAATCAGTTAGTCATTCGGGCTGGAGGGCCTTGTGTCACTCAACTCAATATCCTCAACAACTTTAAATGCTGCAACACTTCGAAAAGCGTTTAAATTGAAAATCAAGTTTGCGATTGAAGAGCGTCGCATTCAGTTTTGAATATTTAAGTGTTTAATGATGAGGTTGGTTAAACCTAAAAATTATATTCTTTTTTTTTATTAACCTTTACCTTAATAATTTATTAATGTAGCTAATTTATTCAATTATTTCACATTTTATGAAAGAAAATACATTTTCTTTAGCTTCGCTTAACTTTTCCCGGAGACACGTGGGACAAACACATAAATGTCTTCAGATTATCTTGATAGGAGTCTATAAAATGCAGTTGCATTTTGACAAAAGTATAATTATTGCTGATACACCAGGCCAATTGTAGCCTAGAGCATGATGTAGTTGTGGCTAAGTTTGGATTCAATTAAATTTTGAAGCATATCGCCAGCTGTTAAGCTTGTTGATTCCTACACAAAGTGAACTAAGTCCTATGATGTTCGTGTTGCACTTCCCTAACATTTTCATTTCGAACCCAGCACACGGCTGCGGCTGTGGCTGCTGCCAATTTCAAAGCAATCGCCGGCAGCAGCTCCGTTTTTATACCCCGCATCCATTGAAAATGGTAAGAAAGGGTATAATGGTTTTGTGTCAATGTAACAGGCAGCAGAAGGCAACTTCAACCCCAAAGAGTATATATATTCGAGCTATACCTGTCTGTGTGAATGAGTCGATCATGAAAGCTAGAGTTTCGTAATTTAAAATCTACATTCTCCAAATCTCCCTCCATAGTCAGAATATAGATAAATATATATTTTGAGACATGGTTATTTGAGAATAACTGGTAGATTATAAGAGCTAGGCAGGCTCTGGTATATTATACAGACTAGGAATATTTTACTTCTCTGATGCCTTTCTCAACTCTCACCCTGCGCCTTGGTATATACATAAAGTTGGAGTCCACAAGACCTTGAAATTTCTAGAAGAAACGGACTTTGGATATCGAAGTTGTACAAGACTTCATTCTGCGTAGTTTGGGGCAAAGGAAGAGGAAACATATTTGTAAGCGAGAATATTTATAGCGTTAGCTTGGAGCTGGTTTCAGGGTATCTGCTAGTCGGGCACTCCCGAACAATGCACTCTTACTTTTTTGCCAAATGCTTTTGGGTTACTTTTTTGTGCTACAGTGCCCGAAGTGAGCGCGAGGAGAGAGAGAAGCGAACCATTTCAGTGATGACTACGGATCGTTCGTTTGCCGTACAAATCAATTTATGGCTGACCAACGTTTAAACAATTTTTGTGCCGCTTTGTGCAATTGACGTGCCGATAATTACGCCTGGCCAGCATGTACGAGTGCGTTTGATAACAACAACAAAAAATGGGAAATAGAAAGAAAAATCGCCGCTCAGCCCTCAGCTAAAAGTGGCAGACCAAAAAGCGGGCACACAAATTGAGCATAGTCCTAGTAAGTTAGTTGGCTGAAGAAAATCCATGCTGCAAAGTCAATTTTCTTGTTTATTTAAATTTCAAAGCGACAACACAAACTACAAAGCAAAAGTCGCTGCTTGCCTCAGATTTGTGTGGGGCACATAAACTGGATTAAATTTCGTTTAAAATGTAAATGGAAAACGCTGGAGAAAAAAAAAAAAGAAAAGGTGATAGAGAACCGGAGCTGAATTATATACAAAATGTCGCCTTATGCGCAACATCAAAAACTAAACAAACACCTCATCAAAAACATCAAAGGCAGCACGCTTTTGGCCTAAACAGCCTGTGAAAAAGGGAAACGAACAAAAAAAAAAAGGCAAGAAATTGGCAAGAAAAAGCATTTTCTTGTGCAGCACGCAGAAAATAAAATCAAGCATTTCACACCTTATCAATTTTGTTAGATTATCAAACCGAAGAATGGCGCCAGCCAGCCTCGCGCTTGAAGGGGAAGCCAAAAAGCTCTTAAATTGCATCATCATCAACTTGTGGCGCGGTGTCCTGTGTGGCCCGATACTCGAGCTGATGCCATTGATGACGTCGTGCTCCTTGTCACCGTCGTTGTCGTTGCCGTTGTCGTCTTCGTGGTCGACGTGATTGTTGTCATCATCATCGTTGCCACACTGTCATTAAGGAAGTCAAAAACTTAGACCCCAAAATGCGGGGCTGGCAAGCCAGGAAAGGGGCGACGACTGGATCTGGGCGGGGGTGGGGGGCTGTTTCTTGCTTTGTGTGACAGCAGCGTTGACATTTATTTTGATTTCAGGTCGAGTGCAACGTGGCAGGGCGCCCGCCCGAGCAGGGACTTCCACCCGAGCTGGGACCCGGTCGTAAGTGCGTGCCCCAGCCACCGGCACCCCATCCCACGGAGATCTCCGTCTGCCTTTAACCTGTAGTCGTGCTCATGCTAATGTGCATTCAGCTTAGCTGCGTAAAAACCTGACAATGAGGGTTGCTGCCCTTTTTGTCACTTAGCCCAGTTCCGTCTTTATTGTTGTTGTTCTTGTTGTTGTTGCTCTAGCATAAAAGCCACTAAATTGAATTTTATGTGACAGTGCCAAGTTTGATGTGTGCGTTTATTAATGGCTGCTGGAGCCCGGTCCCCCACAGACGTGGGGGTAATGATGGTAGCTTCAAGCTTAAACTCAAACTCAAATAATTGATAGCTTTTGCACAGACCCCGGCCCATTTGGTGGGGGTAATTGCAAGCCTTACACTTAAATGCTATGAAATATGGTTAACAAAAGTATTTCGCGAATGCCTTTTGTCAGCGCAAGCTACGTTTTCCAAATGCCAGCCATTTGCCAGGCCATGTCTGGCGAAGGGGCAGCGCATTCTCTGCATAACTTGTAGCAGCAACTAGACGAGCATATGTAAAAAATGCCATAACACACACAGGCGAACACACACAGAGATACACACACAGCTGTGGTCGCCATAGGAGAATATAAAAATAAAGAAATGCTCCCAGCCAAGCTGCTAAATTGTGTGACCCTAAAAGTGTCCGGCAACACATAATGCCAACTTTCAGTATGCTCCAGTGTTCGCTATTGGGCACATGGCATAGGGCCATAGACTGCCATAGACTGCCTGCACTCGGTTTATGTGCCCACACATGCTTACACACACACACACACACACAAACACGCACACAAATCTGACCATGTCCTTTTTATGCAGCCGCCGTCGCGGCCGCCCCAGCTCTAGCTCCAGCTGCTGGGAGTCGCCCGAATGGCCGCAAGGAATTTCACACAATTGCTAGAAAAATTGCAGAAAATTGAAAATGTGCGAGAGCGTATAAATTTTTACTGCGTCACTTGTAATGCTAAATTGTTGTTATTTATGGCTAGTTGCGTGTGACTCATGCCAACATTTGCCCACACTCCAGCCCTTGACTCCATCTCTAGACTTTAGCACTTTCAGTGTTTTAGATTTCCATTTTTATGCCCTTGCAGAGGGTATCCAAAAACTCTAACGACATGTGCAACGCATAGGAGACATGTCTGAACTCTAATGTATATACGTTCTTGATCAGTCGATATAGCCATATAGCCGACAAGTTTCTATGAAACTTTGCATAGGTCCGCCTCCTTATTGCAGAGAGTGAATTTTACGGAATAAGCTTGATCGGGCTACTATATCATATAATTTGTTTATCAAGATATCTTGATCAAACTTAGCATTTGAGACTTATTTCATGTGGCTCACATATGAGCAAAATCCACATCAACCCACAATAATATCATATAGGTATATAGAAAAGCTGGTGGAAAAAACAGAATTTGTATGGGAAACGCTTCTGTATCTTTAAGATATCTTCAGCAAGCAATCTCGAGCCTCATCTTCAATTATTTTCACATATCTACAAAGCCGTAAGCAATATGTCTGCTAGGGTATTTAATATTTGGTATGCCAAATGTAGCTGTTAAATTTTGTTTACTTAAAGCTTATTTGATTGAATGTTTGAATTTCAGGGAGTCTTGACTTTATTGGCGCATATAAGCACTTTATTGCTCTCGGCGAGCAAAGGGCAATAAAGTGATTATATTAGCCAATTAGTCAGTCAAAGGGACAGAAAAACGCTTAAATTTTCAGAAATCCTTTCCTTAGCACATGCAGGCCCGTGCAAGCGAATCTGTGCAATATGCCACGTCCGTTGGACGAGGACAGGGATAAAACCATCAGGTATACACCGAGCGAAAGTGCATATTTATTGTCCTCCATCCACTTGACCGTCTCATTCCAATTGACGGTTAACTTGGGCTGACGCATCAACGGTATCTCAAACTTGCCAAAGCTCTTGCCAAAGAACATCAGATACGAGATCTGCATGCAGCTGGCCTCGCTGACGGTCACAAGACCATTGTCATCATCCACAGAGACATGCGCGGGCACCACCACATACTCCACAACGGCCACGCATCTAAGCATGGCGCCGCAGCGTGAGCCGCCCCAGCCTGGACTTTCTGGACTGAGCTGGAGCGCCTCGTCCACGTTCCTGGCCAGTACCAAGGGCTTGTCCATGGGTAGACAGCCCACGGTCAGCATGGCATAGAGCTGCTCCAGCTTGGCGCCGTAAAATCCTATCCGGACCGGACACTGTTCGCGCAGACTGGTGTATTCCTTGGTATGTGCACATTTCAGGCTCGGTGTGACCTCAAAGATCTGTGTGGGCGCCATGCGGGGCTTTCCAATCTGCAGATGCGTATACAGATCTTCGAACTCACATGGTCGTAGTGTGCTCAATGCCACACGCTCGCCGTGCCGCACCAGAACAGCGTGCAGAAGATGCATAACTTTGACGTGATAGCGACTGTAGTTGCTCTTCAATAGCTGGGCGAGAATGGTCTCCAGTCGATCAATGTCGGCAACGGTATCGAAGATGGCATTAATGTCCGGACGCTGATTGCTGTCGAGAAACTCCTTGGGGAAGGGCCGCAGCAGCGTCTCGTACATATAGCTGTTGGCAGCCGCCACAAAGAGCGAGAATCGCGCGTCGCAGGCTAGCAGATCGGTCTGCAGGCGTTCCTGCACCTGATAGAACTGTTGCAAATTGGTCGTGGGCTCAGCGGCACGCGGCACACAGAACTCCGAATCATTTGCGTGGTTCGGGCTGCTTGCCAGGCTGGGTAAGCCGACGCCATCAGAATTTTCCAGATACGAGACTAGCTTCATGGCCAAGGGTTCCGGATTTTGATGCGAGAAGGAAACGTACTGATCTGTTTTAAAAACTACAGGGTACAATGCACTTGCTTTTATCGAAAGCGTAAATTTATTTGACTCCGATAGTTTTCCAAAATTTGCTACAATGACATTTGGAAATGAAAAGCTCCGCTTTTCCCCAGGTGCCTGCTGCTCGTTGCCAGCTGAGATTGACGATTGTTCTTGGTTATTTTTTTTTTGGTGCAGATTGAATTTAGACACTTCTGTGACATGTTGTGATTGTCGGCATGGAGTACGCACTGCATGGCGCTCTCTGCCTGCCGTTGGAGGGTGTGTCCGTAATTGATTAATGGAGCCGATGCACGACGCGTAGCTTATGTCAGCTTGCATGTTTACAGCGACGCCAGCGACGGGCCAAAGGGCAATCAATTGGACCGCATTGAGTTATGGTTGGGCTGGAAAGCCACCACCATCAGCAGCCGTCCGTGCGCCCGTCCAGAGCTGGTCAGCAATAGACGAAGGGCTGCAGGGGTTGGCAGTGCTCTTCTTGATCAGCAACAATTTCATTTGCCGCATACACACACATGGATACATACAGTATAAGTAAGAGAGTGTGTGCGTGCGTGTGTATTCTGCATTTCAGCGAACGTCGCTTTATCTACTTTAAAAAAGTGCTGGCAGCAGGATGCGTAATTTATTGATATACTCTGCTTAAATTATGAGTCTCCTGGGGGGCGCGCGAGCGTACATTTTTTCGGTGCCTAGCTGCAGGTGTCGGTATAGAAATCAGTTAACCGAGAAAGTTTTGCAACTTTGTTGCCGCTTTTGCTGCCACTCTGCCAGCAGCTGCCCTGTGAAATCAGAAGTTTGAGTTTATTCAAATAAACGCCGACATTAAGAGAGTTGCAACTGTTGCGCCGTAGCTGGCACTGGCCCCAACTCTGGCTCCGGCTCCGGCCCTGGTCCTGGCCCTGGCCATGGAGAGCTGGCCCCGGCACAGCCAAGCGAAGCGGCATAAATCAGAGAGGCTGCTTCAGTTTCCAACTTTTTTCGTAGATAAACTTTTGACGCACCAAAAGCCACCACCTTTGCGTCATTTAACCCTCTTTTTTTTGTTTTTTTGGTGCCTGAAAGCGTTATTAATATGCGCCCTTTTCCTTTTGCACACTCTCTCTAGATACCACTGCCAATTCCCAGGGGCAGAGCCACTAAATAATTGCCTGGCATATGCTCGAAATCGAAACTCTTTTCGTTTCGCATTCTTAAAAGTCTTAAAAGTCAAAAAATAACCATTTGCGCATTTAGCAGGTGTCTTTCTTTTCTTATAAGTATTCGACAGTCTATGCAAGGCCAAGCTTGCAAATATGAAATTTAACTGTTAATTAGCCGATTAGAAAAACAAAAACGTTAACACATCCTTGGCATCATCCTTAAAAACTGGACAGAAAGAAATACGCTTTTAGGGATTCAACTATTCGGGCTATATAGATGCCATTATTGTGCAGCTCAAAGATCAGATTGCGTATTGGAACAGAATTCTGAAAGAAATTAAACGATATTTAGGCTCAATTAATAACTGACTTAACCCATTAATCATTTTGCCTGCGTAGTCAAACATATTTACACTACGATTAAGTACATAAAAATCAAATGTTTGGAGTGAAACATGCAAAACGTGTGAATCGAGTTTTTTTGTGCGTGCATTCTGAATTTTAAATGGACGATGAATAATATAAAATAAAGTGTTAAATTTGCATTTCTAAAATGATCAAATAATGAGGGCGTAATGATCTAGGAAGTATACAAATTAATTAAAATGTATACCCTGTAAAATGAAAATGAATTGTTCAAAAATGCGACACATGCAGCTCTATTAAGTATATGAATTCTCAAACATTCGAGTTGGTCCAGCGTTCATGTGAGTATGCCCGTCAGCCCTTCTGTATAAATGCATCGATACATTGATTATATCATATCTACGTTAATATGATATCTTTATACCCTTGCAAAGTTACATTCTACCCCCTTTGCCAACTTTGTGGTCACAGGGCACAAAATAAATGTTGACTAAACAATTAGTTTATATTTCCAGAACAATTAGTTATCCGCGTGGCACTCTCACTTGTTGTTAATTGCCATGAAATTAGATAGAAATATATGCTGGAGGCTGTTTGTCAATCAGCACAGCGAATCAAGGATATTTTATTGCGATTTGCGAGTGCTTTTCACCTAAGCCAGAACATGCTCAGGTTTTCTATTTTCAATTATAGGCATCCCATTTGCGCCAAATCAATTGGCATATTTTCACACATAAACATAAATTGGCTTCTCGATGCCGGGCGCAGCGCATTAGGGAAAACAAACGCGTTCTGCTTTTTGCCATCTCGCCATTTCATAAATATGTGCCGCACGTAGGCCAGCTCAATTGCCAATTAGAAGAAGGAAAAAATGCCAGGGCACTTGGCAAGTCTGCTTTAAAATTGGGACTTCGGGTGAAGTTCAGCGGCGGAACTGGCGGAAGTTGATTTGTATACGAGTACATATGCTCGGGGCAGCCGCGTAAGAGATGTGCCACACGAAACACGAATCACTCCGAACGTAATAAAGCATTAGGCCCAATAAAATGCTACTATGAAATTTTTCTCACGTCTGCTTCGAAAATTATTAGGCATCCGCGGTCTGCCTAGTTCCAAGTGCTGTTGCCTTTGCCAACACACACACACACACACGCACACACTTCAATAATTGTTTAAAGAAAATTTCAAATGTGCCCAGATCGAACCTTTTGAAATTCAAGTACGTGCCGGAGGTGAGCGCCACGGGGAATGGCAGTTGCTGTGACTCACCTGCAGATTGCTTAAGATTTTCGAGAACTTGGGCGTGCCGATGCTGTCGATGAGCCTGGAGAACTGCTGATCCGTTTCGGTTTTATCGAAAAACGTAGCCAAGATTTGATCCTGTGGCAGCACATCCAGCACGCTGTCGACCAGGCCATGCAGTCCATTCAGCTCCTTCGAGCTGGGCTCCCCATTGACGCCACCCAATGCCTCCACAGCTGCAAGCAAAATTTCAAATTCTATTTAATAACTGGCAAAATATTTAATTAAATGCACATGTCCTAGTACCCTATCCCAATGTTGACTAACCCCTCCCTTTCGTTTGGCCTCGTCTGCATAGTTTGCTGCTATTTGCAAATAATTCAGTCCAGGTGCTGTCACTGCTCCGGCAGAGGCGAGCATGTGTGAACATTGATAAGGTTGCAGCAGACAGTTGTGTTGGACCATGACATTGAGCATAATGCCATGGTCGCATAGGCACAGACGGACAAACGGACAACGGACAAGGGACAACGGACAAGGGACACTGAGCCCGGCTGGCACTGGATGACTTGAGAGTTATGCAGCAAGTTGTTTGTGCCATGTCATGGCCAGGACCAGGGCTACTCCGGCCCGGTCACTCATACGCACCGCTGACCGTTGTGCTGTCCGTCGGCTCCAAGGCCGGCAATGTGGTTGCTTTAGTAGCCTGCACCACGGTCTGCGTCAGCTTCAGCACATCCAGCCCGCTGGCGTTCAGATAGCGCGTAAATGCCAGCACTTCAGGCAGCTGCAGTATTTGCTGTTTCATCTCGGCAAAGAACTCGCTGCTCAGAAAGGCATACGCACGCTGGACCTCTTTATCATGGCGATAGTAATTGGCGACTATGGCCTGCACCTGTCTAGCTGGTATCAGTGCCACAAATGCGCTCATATCAATGGGCGGCACGACTTCGGCAACAGTTGGTGGCACCTCGTCTAGTTCTTCGGAGGAAGAGGATGCCTCCATGTGTTTTTCCTGCTGCTGTGCAGCCGGCATTTGTGTCGCAGTTTTGCGAGCCAGAAATATCAAATCGTCCGACACATTTGCCTCCCTGCTGCTACTCGATGCGCTGTCCTCCTCGCTGGAGCTGCTCGCGCTAAGCGTGACCAGCGCCACTTTGGTGTCCGAGCCTCCAACGTCGTCATCCTTGAGCAGCTCCTCAATTGTAGCCTGCGACTGTGGCGCGCCGCTGACCACGGCACAGATCGCGATCGCCACAAGCAGGCACCCATGGAGGCTCAGAGATGCGTCGCGTTGTCGTCTCATTTTGCTACTGGTAAGTGAACTAAGAGCAGAGCTGCCTCCACAGCTGCCGAGTGCGAGTGCGTTGTAGACTTCTGTAGACTTTATTTATTGTGGGCGATTATTTAATTGAGCCATTCAGTCGGTTTTAGGTACATGTTTATGTGCGATTTCTGTGGCGTTGATTGTGTGTGACGCGAGCGATGGGCAACACAATTGACAGCTACCAGTTCCACCCGGAATCATCTTTGGGCCAGCAGGCAAATTTCATAATTTAATAGAAGCATTGATTTATATGCTGCGTATAAATTATGTTTATCTAGCTTATCAATGCCTGAGAAGACAATTCGATGCGGACAATAAAACTTAGCCTCAGGCAGCAGATTGAAATTAAAGCAGCGATACATTTCCTGTCCAGTTTGAGTATGGAAATGGATATGGATATATACATATATATATGCTGACTATATAATTAAATACACTTCCGCATATGCAAATCAAAAGCAATTTACAAGAAAAACAAACCAAAGCGGGTGTGTGTGAGTCAGTCTGTGTGCCATTCACACTTTGACAGCTGTTGCTGTATCACTCAGTTAGTCACTGGCTGTCATTCATTCTGGCTTCAATTCGCTCGCACGTCAAACTGTGCATAAAATATCTGCTATAGAGTATAACGAACACACACACACACACACACATACATTGAAAGGGAGAGTGTGCGAGTGGGCGTGGGAGAGTGGGACACATTCAGGCTTGATATATTCATTCGTTCATTCAGCAAGTTAAGTAGGAATAAAATTGTCAATTTTCATGTCATTATTTCAACTTGTCGTTCACGGCGGGCGGCGCGTTCACTTTCGCATGTGACAAGCTGCGACTATGGAATGCACACACTCCCACACACACAGACTCTCGCACAGTTATGATTTATTCACTTGGTTTGATTTATTACAAGCCTCTGCCCCTAACGATTTTAGCCCCACACCCTAACAACAGCCTCAGCGTGTGTGTGTGTTTGTGGGTGTCTGTAATGTGAATGTAAATTGTGCGCATACAAACCAATA